CGGGTCTCTCACCCACATCTCTTTCAACCAGTCCAGGGTCAAGAAATAAACCCGGTTTCTTCACATGTCTCCCTTTGCTCCATGTGGCTTCCTCAGGTCTCCTTCTGGCTCTCCATCCTGCTTCCTTCTTCCTCAGAATCCTTCTCCACTCTCCCTTTTTCTGCTCAGCTCCATCCTCCTTCTGGGTGGGGCAGAGAACCTGGAACCACCCTGTTACAGTACTGTAAGAGGAGATTTGTTAATAAATTATGGAGGATTGTCACACACATTAAGGAGCCCAGAAGCAGACAGCCGTGTGGTGTCCTTGGTGTTTCAGCAATCCCATGGTATTCTGGTATTGTCTCAATCCCTAGAACCCTCCACAATCATGGCCAGCTCCTGACATCCCCTCTGTGAGGGTTGGGAACAACCCAAGAGGAGTTATATCAGGATGGCTGGATATGCCAAGACTTAAAAGGAGGTGGAATGTGTTGGGAGTGACCAAAGGGTTACTGACAAGGACTGAATTAGGGCGGTAAAGAATTTTGCCTTGCATCCAAGCTTGATAAAGTGGTAGTAAACTGACCTTGTGTCCAGGATGGGACTAGCTGAAGGTGACAGCGAACTGGGCCTCACATCAAGGACACAGCGATGAGTCACCCCCTTTGGAATCTGAGTTTAGAATCTATATAAGAGACCCTTCCCCCTTATTGAGTTGGCAGTAGCTGCCGACCCCACCCTAGGGCCTCTGTCTCAGCTGCTGTCCAGAGCAATAAACTCTGCTTGCTCAGCCTTTCTGCCTCCCGCCCTCCTTCCTTGTGGCCTGTCACAGAAGTTGGGACAAAACAGAATGTCAAACCAATAGCCCCTTCAGAGGACCAAATTGGTGCAAGGGAAATCATCCTGGACTCCTCTGGGTTCTTCTTAGCTGGCAAATAATGAAACAGGCATCAGGCAGATTGCTAAGAAAAAAAGCCATATGGAAGTTTAATAACATGTGTGCCTCCCCTGGGGGCCCAGCACGCTTGGGTATCACACCCACTTGGCTTTCCAAGCGACCTTAAATAGCCTAGCTAGGATGATGGAGGTTACAAGGAAGAGAGGGGATGTTAATTAGGACATTTATTGGAGGAAAACAAAGATACTTCTCTCCTCCATTGAAAAGAGATAAGGGGATTGAGTCTTCCTGGAAAAGACTCTTACTGAGAGAAGTTTAGATACAAACATCAAAAACACCTCAATCCAGACTTCAGAGTTCCTCCATTGGAAAAAAAAGAAAGAACGAAAGAAAGAAAAAAATCTCTTGGCAAAGAGATTTTTGGTTTTTTGGGGTGGCAAATTTTTGATACTCAGTAGTGCTGTGTGAGTCTGTTCTTAGTGGACTAGGCTGGAGGTGCTGGAAGGAAAGGCTGTTTGTGGCCCTGTGACAGAGGCAGCCTTTTGGGGCTCTTGGTTTTTCTGAATAAACAGAGAAGTTGTAGTGCTTGCCCTCACTGAGTTTGACTAAATTAATGAATAAGCTAAACAAACAAACAAACAAAACATTACTGTTTGGTGGTGACGGAGGAGAAAGTCCAGCACCTGGGTCTAATGGTGGATGCTGTGGACCGGGAACCCAGAAGACATCTTCCATTCCTCTGGCAACACTGCAGTTTGCCTTTGGTGCTCCCAGGTCACATGTGAGCCTTCTGCTTCCACTTCCTTCATGGTTCCAATGAAAGTGGCTCTGTGCATTAGTCCCAAAGACAAATCGTTGTAACATATCCATAGAGCCTGTGCTAGCATTATGGAGAAGCGTCGACTTTTTGCATGGGTAGCATGCAGAGCTCCTCTCTGCCTCCACAGAGCACTTAAACACAAGGTACAGGCAGGGTGTGTGAAGCCACAGGGAGAGTGCAGAAACCCAGTGTTAGAAACAACTTGAGTCATCACTATGCGTAGGCCAGCCCAGGTGAGGACACAGACAGGTGTGAGAATCCAAGGCTTACTGAGACAAGACCAAGATGGGGGTTAAGCTGGAAGATCAGAATAAACGAGCCAGGTACTAAAGATGGAATGGGAAGAGATAATGGGGGAGCAGAGGAGATAAATAAATTGCCAAGGAAGATTTGTAATCAAGATAAGTTAGTGGTCTTGTTATAGGGCAGGGAGAGGGATATCCCTGAACCCTCAAACCTGCCTGCTCTAAATAGGTTCTGCCATCTGCCACATCAAGACAAAACATGAGGCCTTTAATGGAAAGGAACTGTAACAGGGTGGTCCCTAGGAAAAAGGGAAGTTCCAGGTTCCCTGCCCCACCCAGGGGCAGGAGGGTGGAGCTGAGCAGAGAAAAAGGAGAAGAAAGAAGAAGAGAAGGAAGCTGGATGGAGAGCCAGAAGGAGACCTGAGGAAGCCACATGGAGCAGCAAGCATGTGATGAAGCAACCGGCTTGTTTCCTGATCCTGGACTGGTTAAGGCAGATGTTGGTGAGATACCTGTAGGGAGGTGACTATGGCAGTGTTTATATTGATTTTGATTTTGCTCTTTTCCTCTCAGATTTGTCTGGCCATTTCTGACCCTTTTCCATGGGTCCCGGCCAGAAGGTGCTTTAGTCTTGTGGCAGGCTTTCCGGCCTTGCTTTGGGCCAATCCCTTTTGGGTTGACTTTTGCTCACGAGGGAATAGGTAACTTCAGGTGTTTGATTTAGAAGTTATATTCTTTGTATTACGTATTGTATATTCACTGTATTAAAGTCTCTTTTCATTAAAGTTTTATATATGTTTTGTCTTGTTGCGGCGGATGGCAGAACCCACTTAGAGCAGGCAGGTTTTTGGGGCTTCAGGGGTGCCTCTCTCTCCCCTGTCCTCTAACAGAACTTTAATACAATTAGTGTGCAATACAGAAAAGACAAAGTTTCTAAATCAAACAGCCAAATTTACCCATCCCCTGGTGGGGAAAAGTCCACCCAAAAGGGGTTGGTCCAAAGCAAGGCCTGAAAGCCTGCCACTAGACTAAAGCACCTTCTGGCCGGGACCCATAGAAAAGGGTCAGAAATGGCCAGACAAGTCTGGGAGTTAAAGAGCAAAATCAAAACCAAAATAAAAACTGCCATTGTTAACCTCCCCACAGGTCTCTCACCCACATGCTCTTTCAACTAGCACATGATCAGAAAACAAGAGCTGCTGCTTCACAAGTCTCTCTGCTCCAATTGCCTCCCTCAGGTCTCCTCCTGGCTCTCCATCCTGCTTCTTTCTCCTTAGTCTCCTCTCCAGATTCTTCTCCCTGTTCTGCTCCATCCTCCTTTGGGTGGGGCAGGGAACCTGGAACCTCCCCCTTTCCTGGGAACCACCCTGTTACAGTCTGACTTCAAAGATGGTTCTGGTTGCAGAGGTGGAAAAAAAATGCTTTGTATTTGGCTACAAAAGCAAAATTAGGAAAAACCTTAAGTGGTTGTGGAAGAGGAGGTGGTGGGATGGATGGGATGGATGAGGGAGGGCAGAGCCAAAGGATGAAGTGCTCGGATTCAGATGCAGAGAGACTAGGCAAAGGGGATTGTGGTGAAAGTCATATTGACCTTGGCCATTCTACTGAGTCTTAGCTTCCTCTTCCAAGTAAAGATGCTTCTCACTCTGTTAGAGGGACACTAAGGAGCAAGCTCTGAGTCAGTGAATGACATCCTGAATGATCTCTATTCCCTGATGACTTTTGGACTCCACCCTACCACCTTCACCCTGCCCCCATGAAATCTTAGGAGCCAAAGATTACAATTCCCAGCAAGTCATGAAATGGGGTGGTGGTGATGGTGAGAAGTGGGGTGGGTGAAGGGTAGGCTGCTGGGAACTGGAGTCAGAGTTAAACAGCCATGCTTGGTTTATAACTGAACAGATGAGTGCTCTGATTGTCTTGTTTTTCCAGCTTTGACTTGTTCCCTGGTACTTGAAGATGAGACATGGGGAGATATTTGGAAGAGACATGGGATTGAGAGACATGGGGGTGTCCCATGTCCCAACCTCTTTTTGATGGTTTCTCAAAAGTTGCAGGCTTTTGTGCCTCCGTGGCTCTCCTGTGGGCTGAACCTGCTTGATCGGGCATCCGCTCTCCAGGGAACGGGTAATTCGGGGAGTTTTATTAGGAAACTCATTTGAAATACTTCCCTGCCTCCCTCTCTCTCCACATCAATTCTATTACAAATCCATCACGCTGACAGTATGCTTCTTTGCCTTTATGCACACAGATGCCTGAACCCCTTTTAGGACATACCCCTCTTAACAGTTTGGAGTTCCCCAAGGACCGCTTGGTTGTGCACTAGCAACTCCACAAGGATAAGTTTGACAAGTGTGTGGTATATAGTTTTGCCAGACCTACATTTGAGTCTTAGGTCTGGTGAGTACCAGCTGTGCGACTTACGCAGGTCAGTTAATAGCGGATATTATTAGCATTTACGGAGCGCTTGCTGTGTGTTAACCAATAGGCTCTACCACAGACTAGACCACTCACACTTACATTTCAGTCTACAGGGCAAGGAACAGTACCGTGGAGAAAGCAAGTCATTTGTCTGAGGTCCCAGCCAGGATTTCTTTAATCACCACGTTACCCTAGCTTTCTGAGCTGAAAGCTGGCATGACAATACTACTGACACTTCCTGTGGGCTTGGGAGGATTTAAGAAAAGGTCTGGCAAATAATAGATGCTTTTAAGCCATTATCAACACGATTCGCAGCGAATTTTGCAGTGAATAGGCATCACTTGGATAAATTCTTTGGACTAAAATAAAAAAAAAAAAATAGACAGGGTTGGGGGGTAAAAACTGGTTCTCCGCGGGAACACGGGGGCGTAGCCTAGACCAGCGTGGAGACAGAAGCGCCAGACTGGGGGGGGCGGGGCCAGGCCCAAGCGTCTGGGGCGGGGCGCCCCGCTCAGCGGCGGCGCATGCTCAGTGGTGCGGCCCGTTCCACAGCCGCCAGCGCCACCGCCCACTCGGGGCTGGCCAGCGGCGGGCCGCCGGGACTCAGAGTAGGGCCGGGCTGGGCGAGCGCAAGGCCATGGCCCCGTGGCTGCAGGTCTGCTCCGTCTTCTTTACAGTCAACGCCTGCCTCAACGGTTCGCAGCTGGCCGTGGCCGCGGGCGGCTCCGGCCGAGCGCGGGGCGCCGACACCTGTGGCTGGAGGGTAAGGAGAGGACTGTGCTGGGTCCCCGAAAGCGCGGCGGGCGCGGTGCGCACAGGTGCTCGTGGGTAGCGGAGCCCGCGCGGACGCGCCTGCTCTCGGCGGAGCCAGCTGCGGAGCTGGGAGCCCGTGTGCTCCTGCCCTTTCTCGCTCCCTGGGCGCACGTCCTGCCCGCCCCGGCCGGGATGAAAGGGGCTGCCCGACCCCTGGCTTTGTGTTGTTAATGAGGCGCGTCCCTGTCTGGGGTCCGACTCCCTGAGGGCGGGCGAGAGGGGCACCCGGCGGCGGGTGGGAAGAGGACGCCCCACCTTTTGTTCCCGGCCCGGGACCTCCTCCGCCTCCGGGCTGCGAGCTCCGGGGCCCGCATCCTGAGCGCTGTCTGGATGGGGCGGCCCCGGGACGGTGGTGTGGGGCGTCTTCCCCAGATCTCTAGTCCACTGCTCCGCAGAGGCGGGGTACTGCCAAGCGGGGGACTCGGAGCACACGGGAGGGTGCGCCCCCCCTCTTGGCGGAGGGGGTGGACTGCTTTGTTCCTTCTAGGCTGGGAGGGCTTACCCACTTCCACCCACCTCTGACTCGCTGGGAAATTTTGCTCCCGGTATTGCCCTTCCTCTAGCGAAAGGTCCCACGGTCCCACGGATGATCTCGCCCGCCCTCACCCCCCCCCCCCTTTCCTCCAGTTTTGAGTTGCGAAGACTTTTCCGCAGCCTAGGGCGTGCAAGAGTTTATAAACTCGGTCAGGTGCTGGAGGTGAGACTGGAGAAGTGTCCAGACTTTCGCTGTAGGCTTGGAGCCCTCTGGGTCCCCTAGCGCTGCTTTGATGCTCTCTGGGCTGTGGGGCATGGAGGGGCGGTGCGCGGGGCGCTGCTTTTCCTGCGCCCCACCAGGGGATCTGGGCTCACGCGGCACCAGGACGGGGTAAACTGCATCGTCCACCAAAACTTTGGTGAGCCTCGTGTCAAGGCACTCATGATCTTCAGCCTTGGAATGCTAATTCTGCACTCAGGCAACCACGGACATGACCTTGGCTCCGCTGCTGGACAGCCATGAGCTTGCTTGTTCACCTAGGAAATTGGGAGTAAATGGTATTTCCTAGTTGTCGGTACTGCCTCTCTGAGGTATGTATTTGGACGTTTCCTTTAGATCAGCGTTCACCCACCTCTTCCCGGTGCACTGATAGCCTCAGTGTAGTGAAGTCCGGGACCTGACTCCTCTGTAGGTGCACAGGGTGTGTCTCTAAGTGACTTGAGCCACATTCAGGGAAGTGGGGTGAAGAAAACCAGGTATGAGCCAGGCAGCTGGGCTGTCTTCAGACCCAGTAGGCACACTAAGACTGCTCTACTCCAATCCCAACCCCATAGAGGATGTAGCCTCTCTTCTGTTTGAATAGACCAACACATATTCTTACTGTCTCCTTTTAGTAAAATATTCCTATTTTCAAAAAATGAATACCAAGTTTTCCTTAGTGTTAAGATAAAAAAAAAATTCCTTAAGGTAATCCCTAATGTTGATTTATTAACCCGCCTAAATGTTTGAATCCAGACTGATATGTTGGATTGTGAATAACCAAGAGCAAAATGGCATGACAGGTACCTGATTTTAAGGTTTTGTAAGGCAGCATAGGGGCACCAGCCCAGCTTGCTGTCTTTCTGCTATTGTCTAGGTAGCTTCCTGTGCCACCACACAAAGCCTGTGAAGCTTTAACATGGATAAGGTACAGTGCCTGAAAGGACCCAGACTGGTGGTTTTGTTCTTTCTCTGTGGAGAAGTTCCTCTGAACTTGCACCCCCCACAGAATTGATGATGGCTTCTGCCCCAGTGGTCTCACACCCATGTTGACCTCCTCTCTCCAACCACAGCTCTGAGTTGGGGGTGAGCTTTTCAGCGCTCCTTCCGTGGCCCTATGCCTTCCTTTCCTGGCTGAGCGTGGGAGGTACCTGGGCCATTTTGCAGGTCCCAGGCTCTTCCCAACCTGACAAAGTGGCTCCCCCCCCCCCCATTTGCCTTTTGGTGCATCTGATAGAGCTACTGGCTCTCACTCAGTTTGCCTACCTACTTTTACATAAACACCTTTTTGGCCATACCCCAATGCCCCTCCTTTCCTGCTCCCCAACTCCTGACATGCTACTGAGGCTGCTTTTCTCTGTTCCTGGGATGCCTTTTCCTCCCCTGAGACTCCCCCCCCGCTCAGCCTATGTCTCAGCTCAGGTGAACCTCCTCAGGGAAGCCCCTCTTGAATGCCATTCCTCCAGCTTTGCCCTCTTTGGCAGGTCCTTGCACCTTGGTTCTCACCAGACCTTACCCTTAGTGTTTGCTCACATCTTTGTCCTTTTTTTTTTTTTTTAAATTTGTTTATGCAAGAACTGGGGTACAGGCCAGAGGTGTAGAGGATGAGAGGATTCACCAGAGACAGAGTGGGGAGCAGCGGGCAGGAAAGGAGAGGTCTGCACCATGTGGGTCACCTCCCTGATTGGGGATCGAACTTGTGCTGCAGAGTCTGTGGCTTTTTTTCATAGTGCTGTGCTTTAACCCCTTACGCCACCAGGGAGGCCCACATCTGTGTCTTCAGAGTAGTTCTGTTAGCCAAGTACTTAACCTCCTCTTGTTAGAACTCAGAGCTCTGTAAATTTTGATTGAATCCAGTTACTTCCTGCAGTTTTTCTGCTAAATTCTATGTCCCCCCCCAAAGGTTTATTTTATTTATTTATACTTACAAGAGCTGGAGTGTAGGCCAGAGGTGTTGGGGGGTAAGGTGGTAAGAGGATTCACCAGAGACAGTAGGGGGCAGAACATGCGGATCTGCTGAAATACACTGCTGAGGAGAGCAGTGGGTGAGACATGTCTACTGTTCCATGTGGGTCAGCTCCCTGCATACTGCAGTGGATGCAGTTGCTTCATTGTGCTGAGACTTAACCCCTTGTGCCGCGAGGGAGGCCCTGGAAATCCTATATTTCAAATAATGGCTTTTAAGAAATAGGAGAGAGAAGAGCTCTCAGCTCCAGTGGTCTGTCTGTAGCCATCCTTTGCACATGCTTTTCTGCCTGTGTTCCTTCTCTTTATGCCTCAACCTCCCCTCTCAGCTCCATCATCCTGCCAGAAGCCTTTCCTATTTCCACTTCCCTAGTAGTAGATTCTTCTAGAAGTTCTATCAGAGGACTGCCAGTACCTGCTAATGACCAGTGACTCTTGTATTGGATGTAACCTGGATCCTCTCTACCAGATAGTGGGTATTTAACCCATAGATGTCTCAGCTCTGAGGTTGCTTACAGTCTAATTGAGACTCCACAAGCATGGATAGGGGTCGGTCACGCGTGATGCAAACAGGAGAGGACTGCTGGTGGTCTAGGTTACACAGACCTGAGAGGGGGCAGCAGAGTGGAGAAATGAGCCTGGTAGGAGGGGCAGGATCTGGGCGCTCCAGAGGAACTGAACAAATGTTCCCCTTGATCTCCAAGGAGCATTTGTTCCAGGAACTCTTGCCCCTGCAGGAGTGTGTATTTTCCCAGGGTTTGCAAGATGACTGCAGCCAGCTATCCCTCCACAGCCCTGCTAACACACCCTTCGGCTGCCGGCCTGTTTAAGTGGTCAGATTTCACAACCTTCCCATTATTAGTGGCAATTAAAGGCCTGATAACCATCTTGAACACAGCTCAGTGTTTTAGAAGTCAGTTGTGGGCACACTTCCTCGACTACTTGAAAAAATCTCTCAGGGTCCTTGCCAGGTGAAGTTGCTCTTTGAATAATAAATACAGTTTTCCCAAAGACATAACAATTTGTAGAACTTTAGAGGGGCGGCATTCTCATTTGCACTGGGTTTTAACTCTCGCCTCTGGATAGTAGAATTGTTTTGTTTTTTAAAGATTTATTTCATTTGTACATACAGAACTGGGGTACAGGCCAGAGGCTCAGGGGCGGTGAGAGGCTTCACCAGAGACAGAGTGGGGAGCAGAACAGGCAGATCTATGAAGTACACTGCTGAAGGGAGCAGCGTGTGGGCCAGGAGAGGTCTGCTGCGCCATGTGGTCACCTCCTGGGCAGGCGGGAATCGAACTCATGCGTAAGTGGCTTTAGCTTCTCAGTGCAGTGCTTTAACCCGCTGTGCCACCAGGGAGGGCCAGAATAGTTTTGTTTTTGATGGGTAACTGTATCAGTCACTTGTCTTGCTGGTTGTTTGAGAGACCCATTTGTGGAACAGGGAATTAGGAATTTATTCCCATAGGTCTTTATTTAAAGGCTTTCCTGCAGCCACAGAGGAGGGGACATTTTTTGCCTTCCTACCTAAATGGGGTACACCTGGTCTATTCTCTGGTCTATTATCCACAAAATGCAGTTTCTACCCCCTCAAAGCCATCAGGAATTCAGGAAGCCAGAAAGCTGGCATCATCTTTATAGTGAAGTGCAAGTTTCCCATTTAAGGCAAATACTTCATCTCAAAAGGTAGGAAGGAATAGGGTGTTGCTTGGAAGAGAAGAAGTTCCAGCTGGTTGAAATTTAGGTCCCTGATAAAAGTCGAATCCAAGAACTCTGCTTGGCTGTGGGCCCAGGCATGTTTATTTGATTCCAAATTGGATGTGTTTTCATTCACTTGCAGCTTATGGCTCCCAAGCCCACATCTGGTCTGCCTGTCCTGTGGCCATGTTGTCCATGTTAGACAGGATCTGGTGTCCCTCACAGGATCCTTGGTTAAAAATGACTCAGCCCTTGTTGACACATTTTTCAGAGAGATGTTTTTGTAAGACTGCAGCCCTTTCTTTCATTCTGTTTTGCCTTGTTAATTGGGAACCCTCCTGGTCCACGGCAGTCTCTGGGGCAACCCTCCCTTCTCTCCCCACTCCTTTTCCTTCTCACCCCTGCGGGGCCTGGGGAATTGTGCTAGTTATTAACGCTGGGGCACTGCTGGGTGAATAAGTCCAGAAACTAAGTACTGGCTATGGCACTGCTGGGTGAATAAGTCCAGAAACTAAGTACTGGCTATGGCACCGTTTCCTTCCGAACTTGATTTC